TGATGGGTTTAATTCTTTTGGGAAGATACCCAGAAGGGGAATAACTGGATTGAATGGGACCAGTTATTCCCAGTTTTTGAGGAGTCTCCACACTGATTTCCACAGTGGTTATACCAGTCTGCATTCCCACTAACAGTGCAAAAGTCTTCCTTTTTCCCCACAACCCCTCTAGCATTTGTTATTGCTTGATTTCTTGATAATAGATATTCTTTCTGGGGTGAGGTGGAACCTCAGTGTTGTTTTAATTTGCATCTCTCAAATGGCCAGTGATGTTGAACATTTTTTCCCATATTTATTTGCTGCGTGTATGTCTTCATCTGAGAAGTATGTATTCATCTCAGATGCCTATTTTTGGATTGAGTCTTTAAATGTGGAAGGACTGATTTTTTTGAGTTGTTTATATGTTCTCAATAGTAATCCTTTATCTGTGGAACAGCTGGCAAACATTTTCTCCCATGCTGTGGGTTGTCTCTTCATTCTGTTGATTTCTCTTACTATGCAAAAGCTTTTCAGTAGGGTGAGATCCCAGTGTTTGGTTCTTTGTGATAGTTCTTGTAAAATCAGGGTTTTGTTCATAAAGTCTTTACCTACACCAATGTCTTCAATAGTTTTACCTACTCTATCTTCTAGCAGATTTAATTTTTTTTTTTATTGGTACCATGGATCGAACTCACGACCGCCTGCTTGCAAGGCAGGTACTTATGCCACTGAGCTAAATCCCCAGCCCAATGTTTCTGTTTTAATATTAAGATCTTTGATCCATTCTGATTTTAGCTTAATACATAGTAAAAGATATGGGTCCAGTTTTAATCTTTGGCATGTGTGGAGCCAGTTTTTGCAGCACCATTTATTAAAGAGGCTATCTTTCTTCCAGTGAATGTGTTTGACAGCTTTGTCAAAGATAAGGTGGCTTAGTGTGTCTGGAGTTGTTTCTGCATCTTCTAATCTGTTCTGTTGATCATCAGGTCTTTTTTTCCTCCAATACCACACTGTTTTTTATTTTTACTTTTTTTCAGTTTTTATCATAGTAGCTTTATAGTATAATTTCAAGTCAGGGTTATGATGCCCCCACCTTGCCTTTGTTGCCCAAGATTGCCTTTGCTATTTTAGATCTCTTCTGGTTCCAGGTGAATTTTAGGATTGTTTTCTCTAATTCTGTAAGATATGCTACTGGAATTTTGATTAGCATTGTATAATAGTTTTGGAAGTCTGGCCATTTTCATTATATTGGTTCTTCTTACTCAAAAGCATGGGTTATCTCTCCATTTTCTAATATTCTCCTCAATTTCCTTTTTCAGAGTACTATAGTTTTCAATGTAGAGGTATTTTACAATCTTTGTTAGATTGATTCCTAGGTATTTCATTTTTTTGGATGCCATAGTAAAAGGTATTGTTTCTCTGATTTCTCTCTCAGTGAGTTTGTTATCCATGTACAGGAAGGCTATGATTTTTGAGTGTTGACTTTGTAACTAGCTTTGTTACTGAATTTGCTTATTAAATCTAGTAGTTTTTTTGGTGGAGTTTTTGGGGTCTGCCAAGTAGAGTATCATGTCATCTGTAAATAACAATAGTCTAACCTTTTCCTCTCCTATCGTTATTCCTTTTGTTTATTTCTATTATCTAATTGCTCCAGATAAAATTTTGAAGACTATATCGAATAAGAGTGGAGACAATGGAAATCCTTGTCTTGTTCCTAACTTTAGAGTGAAAGCTTTCAGTTTTTGTCCATTTATTATGTGCTGGCTGTCAGTTTGTCATAGATGGCTTTTATCAGATTGAGATAAAGACCATCTATTCCAATTTTCTGTAGAGTTTTTTTATCATGAAGGGTGCTGGATTCTGTCAAAAGCTTTTTCTGCATTTATTGACATGACCATATGATTTTTGCCCTTGGTTCTGTTAATATGGTGAATTATATTTATGGACTTACGTATATTAAACTATTCCTGCATCCTTGGGATGAATCTCATTTGATCACGGTGTACAATCTTCTTGACAATTTGTGGCAGTCTGTTTGCTAGTATCTTACTAAGGATTTTTGCATCAATGTTAATTAGGGAGATTGACCTAATTCTCTTTCTTAGTTGGGTCCTTCTCTGGTTTTGTTATCAGGGTAATACTTGCTTCCAGGAATGAATTTAAAACTATTGCTTCCCATTCAATTTCATTAAAGAGTTTGAGAAGTAGTGGTATTAGTTTTTCTCTAAACTTCTTGTAGAAATCAGCAGTGAATCCATCAGGGCCTGGCCTTTTCACTGTGGACAGGCTTTTAATTATATCTTTGATTTCACTGGTTGATATTGGTTTTTTTTAGGATTTGTATATCTTCTTGATTCCGCTTTGGTAATTCATATGTATGTAGGAATGTGTCCATTTTTTCAGTATTTTCCACCTTACCAGAATGCAAGTTTTCAAGGTAAGTATAGATGATCTTCTGGATTTCTGCAGAGTCTATTGTGATTTCACTCCTTTCATTCCTACTTTCATGGATTTGAGTCTTCTCTTTCCTTTTTTTGATAAGGTTAGCTTTGGGTTTGTCAATATATTTAATATTTCAAAGAACCAACTCTTTGATTCATTGATTTCATTTCTTTCTTTCTTTTTTGAGACAAGATCCCAGTTCAGGCTGGCCATGAACTCACTTTGAAGCCCAGGCTGATCTCAAATTTGCAATGATCCTCCTACCTCAGCCTCTCGAGTGCTAGGATTACAGGCATGTGTTGCTGTACCTAGCACAATTCATTGATTCTTTGTATTTTCTTTAGTCTCTAGGGTATATAAATATCTTCTCTGATTTTTTATAATTCCCTCCTTTGTATGAGTTTTTGGCTTAGCCTGCTTTTTTCTCAAAGTTTGAGGTTCAATATTAAGTTGTTTGTGTGTGCTTGCTCTGTTTTCCTTATATCAGTATATATTGAAATAAATTTCTCTCTTAAGACTGCTTTCCTTGTGTCCCACAAGTTCTGGTATGTTTTGCTATCATTCAACTGTAAAAACTGTCTAATTTATTAATTTCTGTGACTTTTCATGTATTTATGAAGTTCTTGTGGTTTTCTTTGGCATGGGCTTCCAATTTCATTGCACTGTGGTCTGATGCATGGGATAATTTCAATTCCTTTGCATTTACTTAATTAAGCATGTTCTAAGGGCCAGTATATGGTCTATTTTGGAAAATGTCTGTGTGCAGCTGAGAAGAATGTGCATTCTGATGCTGTGAGGTGGAACATTCTATAGACATTTACTAAGTCCATTTATTCAAAAGTTTGATTTAGTTCTAATATTTCACTACTGACTTTTTGTCTAGTTGATCTTTTTGTGATAGTGGGGTATTGAGGTCTCCCAATACAATTGTATTGAGCTTATTTGATTTTTCATATCTGTTAGTAATTGTCTTATATAGTTGGATACACTGGTATTTGTTGCATGTATATTTATGATTGCTATCTCTTCCTCTTGGATTGTTCCCTTTACAAGGATGCAGTGACCTTCTTTATCTCTCTTAATCAGTCTTGGCTTGAAATTCACTTTGTCTACAAATAAAATAGCTAGCCCTGATTTTTTCTGGGTCTCTGTCACATGAAGTATTGTTTTCCATCCTTTGACTTTCAGTCTATGAATTTCTTTTTGAATGAAATGTGTTGCTTGTATGCAGCATATTGTTGAATCTTTTAGACCTTTTTTTATATATATTGTTGGATCTTGCTTCTTGATCCATTCTGCTAGTCGATGTTTTTTGATTGGTGAATTAAGACCATTAACACTGATGGTTATAACTGATATGTATTGACTTATTCTTGTCATGTTATTTTCCTGTTTCTCCTCTCCTCCCCTCCCCCTCAAATTGTTTGCCTTCCCTGGAGTATTTCTTCTGTTGGGGTTCATGGAGTTGAAGTCCTTATTATCTCTTTCTAGAATGTCCTTCAGAACATTTTGGAATGCTGGTTTGGTGGTCATAAATTTCCTCAGATGTTCTTTGTCATGGAATTATTTCTCCATCAATTTTGAAAGATAGTTTTGTAGGGTACAGCAATCTGGGTTAAAGTTGTTTTCCTATAGAACTTGGAGTACTTCACTCCAAGCTGTCCTTGACTTCAGAATTTGTGCTGAGAAGTTAGCTGTGATTCTGATAGATTTTCCTCTACAAGTGACTGGTTTCTTTTCTTTTATTTTTTAAATAAATTTTAAAATTTTATTTTAAAGATAATAAAACCCAACAAAACAAAGCAGTCAAAGTGGTACAGAACTTTGAAGTAGGATAATAGGCAATCAACAATGACTACCATAGGATATCTCACTATCTTCACAACAGCTGTCCATTCCATCACACACAGCAAAATCAAATAAAACAAAACAGAATAAAACCAGTCAAAACAGAACACTGGATAATACAAAACAATAAATTGGAACAAAACAGTGAGAATACTGGAATTCAGAAGCAAGACAGAAGGAAATTCCCCATATTTGTTATTGTGATTTCTTATTGAATGTTTAAAATGAGTAATCTTTGTGTTAATAGAAAAAAACCACAACTATATTACCAAAGCAAACCAGTGATGTTTCAAGTTTTATTAAGTTTATAAAGAAACACAATTTATTATTTAATAAAAAACTCAATTAGTTTTCTTGATGAGTTTACCAAGTTAAATTTCTGCATATGTTTAAGGAAAACCATATAATTACAGTAACATATGAAATGTATGTTTCCTTCAGCCATTTCAGATTGAATCTTACTAAGTCCCTGACTTATAAACATTTGAGTTGTGAATTTTCACAGGTGAACCAATCTTCCATTAGGAACATTCCTAAATTAGCACATGTGTATACTTTAAGGTAACTGTAAAAGTACAAATAATTTACAGTATTTTTGTTAGGTTTTTTTATGCTTTACACTGTATATTTGTGTCAAAGGTGTGTAAGACTCACTTTCGTGACTTACAAATGGATCCGATTTACGAATGTTCTCCAGAACGGAACTGGTTCGTAAGTCAGGGACTTTTTAAAATCCTTTGTTCCAGAGTTAGCATTCTATGATTTGAACAGAATTATACTCATATTCTGTGACCTGAGGTTAATACAATAAAGCCTTCCAAATGACAGCAAGAAAGTTGTAAATTATTAAGGTTTTCCTATGTGAACAATGGTAAAAAAAAAATCAGAAACATGCTTTATGTATTCATTCAGAAGGTGATTCAATTGTAGAAGGAAGCTCTTTTAGCATTACAAAACCCTGTATTTAACACTCTTCTTTTCTCAGCAATTATAATCTTGAAGAGATTCCTTCATCTGAAGTTTTCATGCATTCAGGTATTTTGCATGATGTCTAATGTGATCAGCAATAAAGGTGGCAATGAAGTAGTAACCATGATCATAACCCTCTTGTATTCTAAAAACAACAGGGATTTTCTTTTCTGTACAGGCAGCGATGAAGTTATCTGGGAGGAGCTGTCAGTCTGAAAGGAACTCGTCATCCTTTCCTTGATCAATCAGTATGTCCAGCTGAGAACCTGGATAAGACTTCACAAGATGAGTTGCATCGTAAGTCTTCCATTTACTTTCATCTGTTCCCAAATATCCAGTAAAGGCTTTTCTGCCCAAAGCACTGAGCACTGGGTTGCAAAGTGGAGCAAATGCTGACACAGATTTGTATTTTCCAGGGCTTTTCAAAGCACAAATCAGAGCTCCATGGCCTCCCATGGAGTGGCCAAAAATAGACATCCTTTGGGGGTCCGCTGGAAAATTGGCATTTGTGAGTTTGGGAAGCTCTTCTGTTACGTAAGCATACATCCTGTAGTTAGTTTTCCAAGGCTCTTCAGGAGCATTCATATAAAACCCCGCACCAGTGCCGAAGTCCCAGTGATCATCTTCTCCTTTAACATTGCATTCACGAGGGCTGGTATCTGGAGCGATGACAACAAGGCTGTGTTCTGAGGCAGCTTGATGATAACCAGATTTTGTTATAAAATTCTGTTCTGTGCAAGTTAAACCAGAGAGCCAATACAGGGCAGGGCACTTTCCAGTTTCTGCCTTTGGTTGTAAGTAGACAGCAAATTTCATTTTACATTTTAGCTCCACACTTTCATGTTCAAAAACTTTCTGCAATCCCCCAAAGCACTTGTTGCTGGAAATCTGCTTCAACGCCATTCTTCTCCTGTTTAATTGGTATTTGCTTGTCTGTACCAAAGGACCACCCTCGGAGGTCTTCAGCGGCGGTGGTGTGCTCCGACTGGTTTCTTTTCTCTAATAACTTTTAGGATTCTGTTCTTGTGTTGAATTTCCAGAATCTTGACTATGATATACCTGGCTATAGGATTTTTTTGGTCATTGCTAATTGTAGTTCTATATGCCTCACTTATTTGTATGTCAAATTATTTTTCTCCACCAGGAAAGATTTCTGTCATGATGTCTGTGAACATTTTTTATGTCATTGTGGTATCTCCTGCTTGTTCGTTGACTCCAATTAATCTTGTTATTCTTTGTCTCATCTAGCAGCTGCTGGATTGATTTCTCATGGTCCCTTGCTATTTTTGAGAACTCTTTCTTTTCCTGGTCACTAACTGCAATCCTGTCTTCAATATCTAAGATCCTGTCCTCACATTGGCCTAATCTGCTTCAAATACTCTCAATGGAGTTTTTATTCTCCTGGATCTCTGCTTGAATCTGTTTTAGGGATTCCAGTTCTTTCCTATGCTGATCTTCTGTAATTTTCTTAGGCTCATCTATTTTTGTCTGTGTCTGCTCTAATGTCACTAAGCATGATGTATATTTTGGTTAACTCTATAGTTATCTGAGAGATTATTTATTTAATTTTTTCCAGAGCCTCATTCAATTGCTTTGTTGTTACCATTTCAGAGAGACCTGGTGGGGGAATTTCAGATTGTCCCATCTCATTGCCTCCTGGATTTGTCTTTGGTGAACTGATGTCTGGGGTTGTCTTTTACTAAGTGCCTTCTTATTTTACTTTCTCTCTTTTTTAGTTTAGTCCTGGGGTGCTGCTTGTAGGTTGCCTATGGTAGGTTGCTTTATTGGTAGTATTTAGGACCCTTAGGTGATGATTACTTCTCTGAGGTATCTTCCAGGTGTAGTTGGTTTTTGAGTTTAGAGTCTATTGGAGGATCTTACCCCTTCAGTTTGTTGGAGATGAGAAGTTGTTGCTTGTTTAGCCTAGTCCCTGGTTCTTTGACACTGTGCTTCCATATTTTCTATGACGCTTAGTTAATCTTAGTCATAGACTACCAGGATGAACAGCTGTTCAACAATTATGTCAGTTTTGGCAACGGTAGTACCAATACATCTAACACAGTCTAGAAAACAGCAAACTTAGCTAGCCCTTAATTTGCAACATTTAACTGTAAGAACTAGATTTGTAATCATACAACAAAATATAAAATAAACAAGATAATTATATGTAATATATGTCTGTAATGTGTCAATTTTGCCCTCAAGTGTTAAAATTTAAAATGCACTAAGGAAAAAATAGAGAAGTGGGAGAAGAGAAAGAGATTAGAAATAAGGTTGCAGGGCCAGGGATTTAGCTCAGTGGTTCAAGTGCTTGCCTGGTAAATGTGAGGTCATGAGTTCAATCCCTGGTGCCAAAAAAAAAAAAAAAAAGAAAAGAAAAAAAAAAAGAAAAAGAAAAAGAAAAGAGAAATAAGCTGGAGGACAAAAGGTGATCATGCCAACTGTTTGAGGACACTGATACAGAAGACTGAAAGGAAAGAGATGGACGAGGTAAAAGGAAGAACAGAACAAAATCACACCCACAAAGAGGTTAGGAACTACTTTCACACTCATGTAAAAACAAAGAAGGAGAAAAAGAAAGAAAGAAAAAAAACAGTCCACTTCCAGGATTCTCTCTGATTTCACTATTAGACAGCCTGTGTAGATTCAGTCCCAAATCCTGCCAAACTATCTCAGCAAGCCAGAAGTCACTTTATGGCAGAGTCGTGGATAATCTCAGCAGGTTGGTCAGAAACCAGACTCATTGGGCTTACTGCCATCCAAGCAGTTTCCACATGTCTGTGCCCAGCGAGGAGCTGTTAGAGGAAGCTGGCTGCAATTTTGGACTCTGGGCTGTAAAATGTCAATAACTCTGTCCCCATGGGAGGACTAAATCGTCTGCACTTATCATCAGCCAATGCAGTGTACTCCACGCCTGCTGCTCCCCTCCACTGCCACATTTCTCTTCAGAGGCCTCCAGGGTTGCCAGCTGTCACCATCACTGTGACCATGTGACCCCAGGTTTGAACAACTCTTCTCCCAGTGAGTCTCTTTGCAGGTTGAAGGCACTTCTGGCCTCTGCTTTCTTCTTCCTTAAAGTTTTTCTCTTCATTCTTTTTGTGGGCTTCAATTCATACTTCAGATTCTACCTGGGTCCAGGGGACCCCCTTCCTTCCATCTTGTTTCCTCACGATGCTATCTATGTTCCAGTGTCTGGATAGTCAGTGATACCAATTCACCAGCTAATTTACCTAAATGTATGATCATCTTTTGAGTCCTAGTGGTTCCTGGACTTTCTTAGATGTTAAAGAACATCTTGGGCAAAGATGAAAGAGTAGTAATTAGTGGTAATTCCCACTTGTTAAAGTGGGAAGAATTTCTAGCTTTTTGACTGTACATGCTCATAGGATTATTAAGAGATATCATTTCTTTGGACACTCAGGAAGTGTCCTGTTTGAGAAACCCAGAGTATAAGGTTCTTTTCCTGGAGTTCATCAATAGATGTATAAATGGAATTCAAGTTTGCAAAATGTTGTGTTAATACAAATGTGCATTTTTCATAGAAAAATAGCCTTTTCTTTATCTCTTTTTTTGAGACAGAGTCTCACTATGTAGTTTCAGTTGTCCTTGAACTCCTTATATAGCCCAGGCTCACGGCAATCCTCCTGCTTCAGCTTCCCAAATGCTGGAATTTTAGGCACATGCTGCCATACCTGGCATGGTTTTTGTGGAGATTTTCAGTGTTCATGTTATGATTTGGAGTTAAAATGTCCCCACAAAAGTCTCATGCTCAGAGATAGATCCTGGTTGGAAAAGTCAAGCCAATGGGGCATTACTTGGAAGGGTGTATTCTCTCCCTGGTTCCACTTTTCTCTTTTTGCTTCCTGGCTGCCTGCTATATGAGCAGCTTTACTCTTCCTGGTCTGTGGCCCTTGCACCATGCGTTTTCTATACTGAGCTGATCTACCAGGAACTAAACCTAATGAACCTGTGAGTTGAAACTAAATGTTTCCTCCTTTAAATTTCAGATATTGAGTATTTTGTCTCAGTGATGAGAAAGTGACCAGTGTAGTTCATAAAGCAGAAAAGACTAAGATTCACTTAACTGAGCTAGAAATAAGATCTCCCTACAGGAGAAGCAGACATCAGAACCTGTTGGGAAGCAGAGTGCATAGGACAGAAGAAACATTCACAATCCCCAGCACTTCTACAACTACACTCCTATGCACTTCTGACAGCATTTACACATAAACCTACAAGTGAGATTTATTTCCTGGATGAATGATGGTTAAATCATTTTTCTCCTATAAAATAATTTTAAAGTGGTGAATCTTGGTTGTTTCACACTTTTAGATTCTATTCCCTTTATGTTTCAGGCAAGCAAAAAGGCATTAAAAATGGATCTTTAGGACTGAGGATATAGCTCAGTGGCATGGCACCTGCCTGGCAAGTGAGTTCAATCTCTGGTTCAAAAAAAAAAAAAAAAGAATCCTTGACTATCATAAGACATAGCCTCCTTGTCACCTCTATCTTCACTGTATGTACTTCAAATAAGAGAAAATTCCAATGGCTCCCACCACTTATTTTTACCAGAAACCTTTAGAACTTTATTCTGAGGGATATCTCACTCTTATCTATAAGACAATGATATTAATCCTCACATACTTCAAAATTATGAATTGTAATTATTTACTCTTCATAGTTGTGTTCTGGAAATTATTCATGACTATAATAAAATTCAAGTATTGCTAAATTTAAAAAGAATGCATCCCAGAGAAAGGAGGAAGCTTGTATTATATTTTATTTTGTGATTCATTATAATTATCAGAACCAAAGAGAATTCATTTAGGAAAATGTAACAGAAAAGACAATGGAAAAATTTTGACCATTGGAGTAACTCCCAAATTGAAAATATTGATTTCATGGAGTCTTGGAGTAAAATCATCACATTTGAGTGGAAAGGAGAATGGCATGGCTAACATGATAGGGAAACTGTCATGAAATGTAGGTGTATAACAGATACCGCTTACGGCTTGTGTCTAGATGTTCCCACAAAGCCTCATGCAGTCAAAGGTGGGGCTTTTTCAGAGGTGGTTGGATCTAGAACATGTTATTCTGGGATTAAGGCTGTGTGATTACTAAATCAGTGCACTGATTGCTTTGGCGTTGCCCTAAGCCCAAAGGTAGAGTATAACAGGGGCAGAAAGAAGCTGCTAAGGTCCCTCCTTTGCTTTGCTACATTTTGCCCACCATGAACTCTTTCTCCATTGTGCTACTTTTCTGTCATGCCAGCCTTGGAACCAGTTGACTATGCACTGAAACCTTTACAAACTATGAGCCAAATACACTTTTCCCTCTTTAACTTTGTGTGTTGGGTGTTTTATCTCAGCAATTAGAGGAAAGTAACTAAGACATATATCAAGTGTCTATAAAACAATATAATTTTCTTTTCGTGAAGATTTATGACATCGATTTAATTCTTAGATAATCATACTTGACCAACTGAAAAGCAAAAACCTGAGAGAAATGAATATAACTTTGCTTTGGGGTGTCTCTTACATGACATTAATTTAATTCAAAGTTAAACTAAATCATTATCTCCTATGATATCATGCAGTAACTCACAGTAAAATATTGAAGACTGATGAGGTTGTCCATGTATTTCTTTTTTGGGGTGGGGCGGTTTCCAGGGATTGAACTCACAACCTTGTGCTTGCCAGGCAGGCGCTTATGCCACTGAGCTAAATCCCTGATGTTGCCCATGCATTTCTAACAAAATATATTTTGAGTGCCGAGTGTGTTGGCATATGCCTGTAATCCCAGCATTCGGGAGGCTGTGGCAGGAGGATTATAGCAAGTTTAAGATCAGCCTGGGTTACAAAGTGAGCTCAAGGTCAGCCTTAACTGCATAGTGAGACCCTGTCTCAAAAAAAAAAAAATATATATATATATATATATATATATATATATATATTGATCTGGGTGTGTTGGTACTTGGGA